TCATCAAACAAATGTATTGATGTGTTATTTAAGTAAATTGGTGAGTTCTCTCTCCTGTGCTTTTGTCAGATAGGCACCAATTTTGATTTCTTTGATGCATTCATCATTTTCCTGATTCACTATTTCGATCTCTTCTAAATTTGACTCATCGTGCCTCTCGAACTGTCTGAATTCCTCAACCAGGTGTTTGGGTACTATGATCTTCTTATTAGTCCTCAATTCATCCGCCTCTATTCCATTTTGTTCATTCAGCTTGTGACACGACATGATATTGACAGATTTGAATATATTTTCATTGAAATCATAGATAGATACTGTCAAATAGTAAATATCAAGCAAGTAAAGCACTTTTTCGCAATAAATGAGGTTTTCAGTTGAAATAAGAAAATAAGAACTTTGGCCATGACGATAAATCATTTTGCCTTTTCCAAAATATGAGGAGGGAGATTAAAACACAGTGAGACAAAAATAGAGTAAATGATGGGTGTCGAGCCTCATTTGGAATACCACCAATTTAGAAATAACATAGAAAATTGTTTATGTCTACCAAGAAGAGCGAGGAATCAAGAGAAAAATGGATATCCAATTAGGCATTTGCTCTTTTGACTCATTGTCTAGTATGACTGGTGTCTTGATCATCTCTTCAAGCAGAATATCACCTTCTTTGAAACAATTTTTTATTCCTTCCCCTAAACCATTTTACATTGGAAAAGACTGATATAAGTAAGGTAATGATTTTGGAAAATCTTGATCGATCTTCTGTTTGTTCTGACCTTCTTTCGGCATTAAAGCAAAAGATTAATGAGGTGTCATGATCATAAATTTGGATTTCTCTCTTTTGGTTGGAGAGACTACAACTTTTTCAAGATTTTCAAGGTTGGTTGAGATTATATCTTTCTCCACATTCAAATTTTCTTCGACTTCAACCATATTAATAGTCACCCCTCCATGATTCGGCATAGGGTTACTATTGACATTATGAGTGACAGTCTGAAGAGTGACGACCTTTTGATCTATCAAATCTTAAATTTTATGCTTCAAGTTGATACAATTCTCAGTAATATGCCCAGCACCTCCTGAATGGAAAGCACAATGAAGATCGGGTCTATAGAGCTTGGAGTTGATATTGATATTTTTTGGATAAATTGTCTGTATCAGGCCAGCTGATTTCCATCTCTCAAAAAGTTGTGTTCGACTCTCAACCAAAGGAGTAAAGACTCTAGATGGTTTCTTCTCAAGATTTGGGCGAGGAGGATTGTAATTATTTCCTGGATGTGAAGGTACTTGACGATAGTTTGGAGAATTTTGGTGAGTTGCTGCTTGCGTTTGAAAATTTGGGTATTGTGGAGCTCGGTAGCTAACATAGGTGTTTTGGTAGTGCGGGGGTGTAGTTTGGTAACTTGATTGGATATTTGAATAATTAATTGATGGAGCTTGGTAATATGGATGGGTATTTTGGTAATATGGAGATGGAGTTTGGTAAACAAGAGGTGGAATTTGGTAACTCGGTGGTGGAGTTTGGTAATTAGGAGGTAGAATTTGGTAACTCGGTGGTGAAGTATGATAACCTGATTGGGTATAACAAGCTGAATATGAATTTTGTGGAGCTCGAGGATAACCTTTGTAAGGTGAGGATTTTCTGAAGTGTCATTTTCCATCAGATGCGCAGGAAATAGAAGACACATCCTCTCTCTTCTTTTTCAACAATCCTGAAGATTCAGTTGGGGTGGCAAACCAAGAAATATTTCTGATTTTAATCCCATCTTCGATAGCCTCACCAACCTTGACTATCTCCGCAAATTTTACTCCAATGAGCAACATTATCTTGTTAGAATACTCTGGCTCTTGAATGCGTATGAACACTTCAACGATCTCTTTCTCAGACATAGAGGGTCGAACCCGGGCGGCCTCTTTCCTCCACTTATACGCATATTCACGATAGCTTTCAGTGGATTTCCACTTAATTCTCTCCAAAGAATAGCAATCAGAAACAATCTCCACATTGTAGGTGAACCGTTCGAAAAAATCTCTAGCTAGTGCATTCCAACTAGACCATTGCTTTATCTCATGAGAGGTAAACCATTCCAACGCTTCTCCACTTAAACTTCGGCTAAAGAGTTGTATCAACAAGGCTTCATTCCTGCAAACTCCTACGAGTTGGTCACAGTAGGCTCTCAAGTGCGCTAATAGATTCCATGTTCCTCCAAAAGTGTCAATTTTTGGCACTTTAAACCTTTCTCGGAGGTCTAGATTCGGATGGATGCACAAATCCTCATAACTCAATCCATCAATTTCAGGAATATTGTGCAACTCCTTCATGGCTTTCCTGATCTCTTCTTTCATATTCATCTTGGTTGTCTCTTCCTTTGACCTCCACTCTCTCTCATTTTCCTCATAGTGATAAAGCTCGGAACAGTTAGCATAGGGTTCATTTGGAATTGGAATTTGAAAAGTAGTCTTTTGAGGCAATGGCGGAGCAATGGAGGGATCTGGATATTTTGAGTGGCTTGGTAATTTTGAGGGAAAGTCTGTGGGTTGGTATGCTGATTTTGGTGATGGGGGAAGGTTTGAGGATTGTTAACATTTTGATTTTGATGGGGAGGGCAAGCTTGCGGGTTGGCATTTTGATGAGGAATGAAGGTTTGGGGGTTGCTACCTTGAGGAGGAGGTGGCGCTTGGTAAGAGACAGAGGCATGATGGGGATTTAGGGCGGTTAGGTCGATGATTCGAGGATTTTGAGTGGGGTTAGAAGGTGTGTTCTGAACATGTTCCGCGCTTGGAGGAGGAAAGTAGAGTGGATGTCTTCCATCTCCTTGAGGGTTAAAAGTGAAAATTGGATTAGGCAAATCTAGTCTTCGTTGCATTTCAACCCTCATTTCGGCAATCTGTTGCATTAACTGCATAGTTAATTCATTTTGATCAGCGGCGGCGAGATAAGCCACGACAACATCAGTCAGGCCAATCTCGTCATTGTTATCACTCATTACTGCCTTTCATTTTTGTAAACTTTGATCGGGGAAGGAATCTTTGGGGGCCTTAGATCTTGTGAAATAAGGATGACCAGCCAACTTATCAACACAAATCAGTTCTAAGTACCTGACAAAGAAAAATAACTCAAAGGTGAATATGTTAGTTTGTGTCGATGATAATTAATACAAAATATCACACACATTACTGTAAACACATAAGAGTTGTTTCATTTGAAGATAAGCTAGCCCACATATAGAGAGAAATGACTAAATAGACAGGAATTTATCTATTTGATTATGAGCCTAGTGAATTGAAAATGTCGACTTGAGTCGAGAGAAGTCGATTGTGTCTTTCATTGTTGTACTTCTGATTTTGACTGAGATGTAACTCTAATTACTTTGTAAAAGTTGAAGAAGATGGAGTTTCTCAAAAATGGGGACCGAACCTTGAAAGCCTGCCTACGTATCTCAAAAAAGAGAATTTAGTACCTACGTAGTTCGACCCACTTGAATTTGTTTCAATTTGAGACGAAGAATCTTTTTTTTTTATATGAGAGTAATAATTGAAAAAATAAAGTTCAAATTTTGTTGGAAAACTAAAGACTCGAAAAGTATTTGGATGCGCTTTTGATAATGACTTGATATTTGTGCTCAGAGGTTCTAAACATGATTTGAAGAAGAGTGATCTAGAATATCTCCAAATAAAGTAACATAATCACACAAGCATTTATAACACATAAACAATTATTGCGCGTTCTAAATAGATATGTGACCCTTTTGCGCCAAGGGTAAGCCTAACGATTTGAAGGATATATACGTCATTTGAAACATTTCATTTCTTCCAAAAACCAAATTTATACGAGTTTTACGAATAAACTGAATGGGGATACATAATAGGGAAAATGGAATACAAAATATCAGTCCCATGCAGGGGCACAATCCTAATCTATCCTTCCATGGAAAGATCCTTCGCTCTTGATTTTTTGTCATCTCCAGCTGTCCACACTTTTGTTTGCAATGATAATTTGCTCCCTCTTCAATTAGAATAAAGCTATAATCTAACTCCCTAACCCAAGAGACAATGTTTTTCCAAATAATGTATACATCTTTCAAATTTAAACAGATAAATATGATCGTCTTTTTATTGACCAATGGGCCAACTAGACACAAGGTGGGCTTCTAATGGGCCCAACACGCCTTTGGTGTTGGGTCAACTCAGTTCATAATGCGCTAAAATTGAGATTTGGTTTCGCTTTACGCTAGTTGACTAAAAGTGGCTTTTGAGAGACCAGAAACCCAAGCGGACAACTTAGGCTGGAACTCACGACAACCATTGGACGCATGACGAACCAATAAATTGCCGATCATTCCAGAAAAGGGTTGAGTATAAAAAGTCCGGTTGCGATTATGTAGAAACCGTTCTTAATATACTATACATACAACAGAAAAAGTCATGAATGCAATGACAATTTAAAGCAATTTAACAAGTAAAGCATATAAACAATTAAACAATTAATAACAAGTAGTCAAATCTTATGGTTAGAACTTAATTAAATCACCAGCAGAGTCAACATTTCTGTTTTACTCGAAAAAAGAATAAAAGACTTTTGTTTTCGAAAAATCGACTTAACTTATGTTTTGAAGAGAAATTGATTTTCCAAAATAGAGTCGCCACTTAAATTTTTTTGAAAGAAATTAAGAATACTTATAATATTTCAAAAAGATTTAAACAGACTAAAATCAATTGAAAATAAAGGGGTTCGAGGTTCAATTTATATTCTGAGAAGGTGTTAGGCCCTCGAAATGTCCGCTAACTTGCGGTTGCCCAACGATTTTACTAAAACATTTGACTAACTTTTAAAAATTTAACCAAGTTTAAAAAGAAAGATAATTTTAAGTTGCTACTTTTAAAGGAGAGAATCAGCATAATTCCTATTATAACAAAATAATCATATGTAACTAAATATATAAATAAGTAAATAATAGATATTTCAAAAATAAGAAAGACAATCTTGGGAAACTTAATTAAATTAAACCATAAAAAAAACAAGTAGAGGTTAGTCAACACAATGATAAATAAATACAAGAGAGAAGGAAATATAAAATTTGGGCCCTTTGCCCAAATTCAAATTCTTGGGCTTGGCCCAAACCTGTCCTAAACTCTAAGAGTGGGCCTTCTGATGGGTTTCAGCCCATTTTTGCCCTTTTTTACACTTGAATGTGTATACATTCTATGTATATCGCTGTATACGGGCCGTATTTTTTGCATTTTTTCTGTATATCAGCTTTTGACCCGTATTTCGTCTTCAAACTTGCATATCTGCCTTCAACCTGTACTTTGTTGCATTTTAGACATGTATACCAACATTTAGACATGTATATCAGTTGTATACTGATGTATACAACCTATTTTTGAACTTTCTGAGGCCTGTCTCAGCTTCCTTTAACATGTATTTCAGCTTTCAACTTCCTAACGATAGTCAAGGCTTGACTCGAAGAGATTCAACTCGAAGATATGCTAAGAGGGGATTCTAATAGGACTCGAATTGGAATCACATGCATCAACAATAAAATTACATATGAGAGCCGATACATTAAATCGATAAAAGAAGCATAGAAATAATGGCATTAGAATATCAAAACAAAATTTATGTATTGCTGCTACAAACCATAAGTCATTCTAGCAAAATATATTAGGTAGGACTTAAAATAATGATGAGAAAAATCTTAACTTTGGTACCCATAGAAGGTGTCACTCACAAGAAAAATTTAACAAGTTAATCAAACAAATGGAGGAGTAGATACAAGCATTATTAAATTAATTTCCAACCACATACATATATCCTTAACAATTTATGACTAACTGCATCATTAACTATTCTAGACATGAAGGATTAGGAAATATCACATATTATCTAAGTTTTAATAAACACACTTAACAATGAATTGACAATAGTTAATTAGTACACCATACTTAGCATAGAGAATGAATTCCAATTAGATTAAGACATTATCCAAAAATTAAACTAAAGTCATATTAAATAAAGGAATATAATTAAAAAAATGCCAAATTTTCTTAGACTAGAATATGTATAATCCAAAGCAAGATGAACGGCTACTAGATTAAGGGAACTTTGATTCAGTAAGATGAAGAAACACACATAAACTAGTGATAAATAGCAAGGAGGATTGTACTAAAAGTTCCAATATTATTGTCTCGAGCTTAACTTCAAACATAATGCTTAGATTTCTAGGATAACAAGGAAAAAATTAAAACAACAAGATAACAATTTTCAGATTTTATTTATAACAAGCTAGACTGGAGTTTTAGGACGAACAAATAACACGGCAATCCAACACATTACTGTAAGATACCCAAAATAATTTAAACTTGAGAGTTGGTGCTTAACATCACACAAGCAATAGCCATTTGAACTAACATAGCTAACCAAACTCAAATGAAAAGATTATCAACACAAGCGACTTCATTCGAAGAAAATCGAGCTATTACATCAACAAGATTCAAAGTGAACTCAAAGGGACAGACCATCAACCGTGTTCAACAATAAGATCACTAAAATATCATGAAAGAGATAGCAACATTAGAGAAGAAAAAAATTAAGCAGTAGCTAAGGACTTTGACAAAAATGAGACTACCATAGAAAGAAACTAAGAAATACTCTATGAAAATACAACTCGAATCGCAATAAATCAACAACAAATACAGAATACAACACTCTTAGCATTCCAACCATATCAAGAGACACAACAATTTATTAATCAACACATGAAATCCTAAAGAGAAAGAAGGATTAATAGAACGGAAACAGAGCCGACCACATATCAATGGAGAGGAAATGAAACATAAGACTAAGGATATTACCTTTTTCGGTGCAACAAACTGAAAACAATCGAGCAAATGAGCAGCGACTTCACCACTACAATGGGATCCAACGATTCCAATGAATAGTAATTATGTCACGTTCCAAAAAAAAAAGGAAATAGAACCTAAATACTCTCTGTAGTATTTATGGCCTTTTAGGTCTATTTTTGCCTCAAAGAAACCTATATATTTCATTGTATGTTTCCCTTTATACTGACTCAAAGTTCTTCAACCTTAAACAATGGAGGGGATATTATAGGCAAAAATTAGGCTTCCCAACTCTTGGAGGGAAATGGATGAAAATTTGGGAAAACTAGGACCCATTTCGAATTCGAATCCCAAATTTTATCCAAAAACTCGAGAATATTCCCCAAATTCCCACCATTTTGAACAGATAGAATGGAGATAAAGGGCTTGGATCGATCGAGCGTCCTTGAGATGCTACGTGTCTCGATCTCGTGCTACAAGGATGATAATGCGTGTTATTTTTGTTGCTCTGGGTGTACGATTGAGAGGGACGTTGAGGAATGAGACAAGAAAGTCATGTTGTGTTCTCTTGCTACTGTTTTTCCATGAACTCGTTGTATATTCCCGCTTGAATTGGAGATGAGTAGGCGTCGTTTGGTTGTTGTTTCTGCTGCATTTTAACTGTTGTTGATTCTGTCAATTTGACGTTGTGTTCGCGAGCTGCTACTGTTAGTGTGAAGCTTTGGGATTTATGAACGTTGGGAGCTTCTTGGTCTTTTGTGAATAGAAGAGGTGGGCTGGATCGGATCATATGAGAATTGGGCTGGAGGAGTTGAATCGAAGCTGGTGGGTTTGAGCTGTTGAAAAAAAAGTGGGCTGCAGAAAAAAGGGTAAAGTCCTAAAGCTAAAGTCTTTTGGTGGGTTTTAAGTAAGATATAGCTAAGTGAGTTAACAATTTAGCCAAATCGATTTTAAATTGCAAATTCGGCTAAAATCTAATTAAGATGAGTTAATATAATTAATTTAGGAGCTTCTCAGTCTTAACGAAACAAAATGATTAAATCAATTGTAAGCTAAATAATTTTAAAGATTAACCATAATTTAAACTAAACTAATTTTAATAGAATATTTAAAATAAAATCTTTTTGAGATGATTTTTAAATAC